AACACTTACCTCCATATTGCTACGTATTCCATATGCAAAAAAAAAAAAAAAAAGTTGCACAAAAATATGACCAGTGCCTGGTGAGAGGAACGTCCTGCACGAATGCGCTTTTTTTTTTTTTTTTTTTTTTTTTTACAATACATGGGAGAGCGGAAAATGCCCATTTTGGAAAGCCTTCACTTCGTTGGGTAGCGGATACCCTTACGAGTGAAGTCGCCCTAGCTCACGTGCATCGTATCAAATCCCGTCACATCACACCCCAGCCCGGCGCGCGTTGTACACTTCTCCACCTTGAACGAGGAAGCATGCCCGGTGGACACGAGCGAGTTTACGCTTGCCCGATTAGCAGTGACTGCAATGCGCGGAAGTCAGTAATGCAAAGAAGGGACTCCTCAGCAGAAATGTACACCCCGCCCCCAGGAAAGGTGTAACAATTTGCTAACCAAAAAAGAGAGAAAAAAAAAATAAAAAAAAAGCTAACACGAATGGGCAGAACGTTATCCCCTTTTTCTCCAAGAGCACAATGCTTAATTTGAAAGTTGTAAGAACTTTACAAAAGTCGCCAAGCGGAAAAAGGACCACGTCTCGTGCCAAACTGTCCTTCCCATCATTACACCACCATAAAAGCGAATGCAAAAAAGGACTTCTTACTATGCACATATGTTCATAGCACAGGGGACACGCAGCAGGAAATGCAACCCTAATACAGGAGCACATATTATTATCATTTGTATTGTCACCCCGAGCATTGTCCTAATCTCACTTTGTACCAAACACAGACGCAGGGGGATTTACACTGTCCCCTCCCCAATTTGTTAACACCCACAATATTCAGCTTACATAAAGAAAACGACTGGAATAAGAAAGAACCGATGTAACATACTCTCAATGAAAAAAATATGTTAACCGTATTAGCGTACATCCAAGCAGAACCATCCCTATGCCACCCCACCCCCCTCGACCAGTTTTGTCAAGTCCCTTATGTACAAATCAGCCCTGTGTGTTCTTCCTATCCTCGTGTATGCCGCCCTCCATTTCACCCAAGCAGTGACCAGGCAGAAGAGTTTGTTTATAACCCCAGTGTGTAACCAAATACAGACGTACAAAACTTACAATGAGTCGCCCATCAGCATGAAGAGGTGGACCACATGGAGGAAGACAACGAGGCGAATTCCTCGTAGGAACGTTCATGTCATATATAACCGGGGCAGAGATAGCAGCGTATTAAAGGAAAGAGAAAGTGATACCATTGAAATGAACGGAGTAGTGGACCAATGTCTGGCCAACACAAACTTTGTGGTTCGAATTCCAAATGGAGAAACCTTCTTGTGCTTCATCTCAGGAAAATTAAGAATCAATAAGGTAAAAATTAACCTCGGGGACATGGTTAAAATACAGATTCATAAGTTGAACTTTGAGAAGCGCAGGGGGAAAATTGTGTTTAGGTATTTGCAACACGCCGCACTGGGGGGGAAGAAGGGGTGAAGGGGGAGGGGCGCATGATTGGTATTGCGAGGTAGAGGAAAATGGACCGGACCCAATTACACACCCTGCATCGCTGCAGTTTTAGTATATAAATATTGTCCACCGCAGGTGAACCAATCGCATCATGCAATTTTTTTTTTTTACTCGTAGATTTTTGCTTAGTTTGGTTGAGCATCGTCCCATTTAAAATTTTCATCTGCGCATTAGCCGCATAAGTGCTGCCCATTTTTTTTTTTTTTTTTTGTCACGTCCATCTGTTTATCTTTTTTACACGCACACCTATTTGTTTTAATTTATTTTCCGTGGGGGACATAGAAAAAAAAAAAAAAAAATCTCCATCCAGGGAGAGCCATTTTCCCCTAAATTGAAACTCCCCTAAAGAGGGAACATCACACAAAACACATTTACATAAAAAAAAGGTTCAAATCCCCTTTTGTCTTAACATGGGTGTAAAATGGGGAAGGGCAAAGCGGAATGGCACTTGTTCCGTGTGTTCCCTCAAAGCGTAATTCGGTTTTGTTCATCCCGTGGTTGCGCATGACGGCAATTGGGGGCTTCCCCTTCCATGTGTAGCATTCATGTAAAATGAGTGAATAGTCCCTGTCAAGCGCATACCACTAATTATTATTACACATGGTAGGGGAGGAAGGGACGTCCAACAAAATGTGTACAACAAACGGGCGCTTTGTAGCACTTGGTTTAACAATATTGAGGTCGGCTCAATTTGGAACGACATGCAAAAGAGTCTAATTTCAAAGGTTGGCAAGGACGCAGTGTAAAAAGTAGCAACCCGATATTTACGAACATGCAAATGAGCAGTGACGTGGTCCAACTGAGTGTAGCTACATAACGTATGTTTTTATTTCATCATTGGAGCAATTACCGATATGGGGACACACCAACCCCTGCACAAGTAAACCCTGCACTCCTCACTACAAAGGTTACAATACAAATGATTTTTTCTTAATGCGAATGAGGATGCATAGACATAAAATGTGAAGGCCTTACCTTTTAAGGCAAATGCGTGTATCACTCTTTAAAAGTTGCAAAGAGGAAAATTGATTTTATCCTTCTCTGGTTGCATTTCTGTTCATGCAAAAAATACAAATGTAAAAATGTATAATGTGATACATTATGTGATGAACATCCAGTGGTCAAATAAAAAAAAAAAGGATAAATATTTTTGCGCAAAAAAAGAACAAAAAAAGAAACTTCTTTGTCGTTGTCCCCTCTTGTTCGCAATTCATCTTGTTAACACGCAAATATTTCCTTTTTTTTCTGTTTTCCCCATCGCAGCGTTTGCATATGAGATGCCCCTCTGACTTGATGCATATACACAGGCTCACATTTACAATTCCCACTTTATATACACTTATATATTTTACATTTGCATTTCCGAGTGATGGCCCACTTCAACTTCCCTTTTCGAGTCCATAACGACACTTCCTTTTACGACCGCATTGGGTATAGATCCCCCCAAGAACAATAATGCTATGTGGGGACTAAATGATACTATGAGCACGTCGCTGCTGCAGTCGCAAAAGGAAAAAAAAAAAAAAAAAAAAAAATTTATATATTTACAGTTAAAGAATTTCATTTTTTTTAGAAAGAAAAACATCAGAAAAAAAACAAATGTTACACCTCAGGGGGTTGAAACACGGGAGAGACACTCCCCCCCCTTTTTTTTTTTTTTTTTTTTTTTTTTTTTTTTTTTTTCCCCTCATCCACATTTTGGGTGCTTCAATATTCATGGCGCTGTTTTCAAAACATGCCAAGTAGAGAATGTGCCACGCTGTGTTTCGTCATTTTTTTGTAACAGTTGAGAGAAGTAGCCCTTATTATATTCAGCCCCACCCTCTCCCCCTTCCTTAACTGCACAAGTGAGAATAAGCATCCACACTCCAAAGAGTTGTTTTTTTTTTTTTGTTTTTTAAAAAAGGGACACTCAAAGAAGTAACGGCGGAGTGCTTCCTATTCTCCAATACGATCATTTTAGAAGCAGCTAGGAAAGCAGGACATAGAGAAGAGCAAAGCTGATCCAACAGAGTCAATATATACAACACTTCCCCTCCTCAGAGTGTGAAAAGACCAAAATGAACGAACCAACTGATGGAAAAGCCAACGATAGGAAGAGGAAGAAGCCGGATGATAATGCAGAGGAAGGAGGAAAGGACCCAGGAAAGTCTAAGAAAAAAATAGAATTTGAAAATGACGAAGAGTATGAAAAGTATCTTTTGAGTAACTTCAAGAAGGGGTCTGTCGGTGGAAACGGAGGTGACGGTCGGCATGGAAGTCGCCACGATGGACGCCACGAAGGACGCCGCAACAACCGCCATGAGAACAGTCCCGCCGAGGAGTACACCCTCTCCGATATGGTGAAGAGCTTCTACAACGAAATGAAGAAATACAAAACTGTGGACGACATGGCAAACGAAATTAAAAGACTAGCAGTACAAAACATTAGGAAGAATTTGGAAATTATTTGTAACAACGAATGCACCAGCTCCTTCTTTGTGGAGAAGTACAGAGTGAAATACATTAACGAGCAGGTTGAACTCAATATTAAGTCAGCACAAAATTATTTTAAAGAATTTTTAATACTTTACAATAGCAACAATTTTGACAACTTCAGCTTGGAGGTGAATACCAACGTAGAAAAGAAGGGCAGGCAAGAGGACAGCGCGGAAAAGGACAAGGATGACGAACAGGGTGAAGAGGAAGTCAATCATGGAGAGGACGACCCCCCAGTGATGGACCACTCACAGAATAGCAACGGGGATGATAGTAACAACAGTGAGAAGTGGCCAAATAAAAATCAAATGAATGGGGAAAATGGACACGAAAAAGAGGACATGTATAAAGAGAACACATGGAAAGAAAAAATGAAATGCAAAATTGAAAATGCAAATGAAAATACAAACGTGTTGATAAAAATTGTCAACTACCTATCCAGCACATCACTACACATTGACCACATACCAGTTAATATAAAAAAGTTCGATGTAGTAAAAAAATTAAACGAGCTCAATTATGGTATATTAAATGCGAATATATGGGATACGTATAGTTCAAAAGAAAGCAGACCGTTCTCCTTGTCCATCTCCACAGTTCCTTCCTTTTACAGAAAGGCAAATATATATTTTAAAAAGCACAACAAAACGAGTGACCTGTTAAGCGCCCTGCGTGAAAAACCACGTAGTGTTCAAATCAATGGCTGGTACTTAAACAATGTGAAAAGGAATAACTACAATTATGTGGACTTGCGAATTTGCCCCCCTATATGTTCCCACGTACAAGTAATTAAAGCCGATTATGAAAAGGCTAAAATGTTGGTTAGAACATTGGATGCATCTTGCCATATCGATGCTGATCTCCTGGGGCGCATTCAGGAAGAGGACTTTATTGAGGTCAGGCAGAAGAAGAGGAAGGTGGGGGGGCAGGAGGAGGGTCAAGCGGATGGAGAAGGTGGTGATGTGGCCACCGAAGCGTTTGCAAAAAGTAATAGTAATAGTAGTAATAATGCTGTTGGGGGGAGTGACGACCAAGTGGGAGACAGCCCTATCATACAGATCATCGAAGAGAACAAAAATTTCAGTGTGACCAACAAGCTAGATATCCTAATTATGTACCTCCGATTTGTGCACAACTTTTGCTACTACTCAGCGAGGAAATTCAACACGTATGATGAAATGGTCAGGGAGTGTGGCTACTTTTACCTCCGCGTAAATATGAAGAATAAATTTTACAACAATTTGATCCCCATTTTTTACGAAAATTTTAACGTGAGCAAATTGGACCAGTACGGCCAGCGTGATCAATGGGCGCAGCAGGGGAATGGCTGCGAAGGCGGAAACGATGACGACCTTGTGGATGGAACAGCTGAAGGGGAAACACACACCCCTACCTCCTCCCCTCTACACACCCTAAAGAAGAAGTACTTTGACGACGTGGGCAGTGTATCAGAGTACCAACTCAAATGGCTTCTCCACTTTGAGGCAGAAATTAAAGACGCCATAAATACAAACTACAATGAACAGATAGAAATCGAAAAGACAAAAGAATTTATGGAAAATTTGAAAAACAATTATATCCTGAAAGCGAGTGATAATCCTCGTGACAACCCTCGTGACGATGGCAAAAGCGAAATACGTTGTGCCAAGTGCAAGAAACTTTTTAATCACATTAAGGACGTCCCTAACCACATCTTCATTAAACACAGCCAAATTAAATTAAAACTCATCACAGAAACGGAGGCGGAAATAATGAAGAAATGTTTTTACGAAGCTCCGCACAGTTTTCACTTCCTTTTTATGATGGAAAAAAAATATAATTCTGGTCATTCGAAAAACCATGTAAGTAAGAATATTTTTAAAAAACCCAAAATTTTTAAAAACCAAAATTTTCACCTCTTGCCAAACAGCGCGAAGAATGATTACAAAGATTTTGACGACCCCAGCTCGAATGTCTTTGAGAATGTAAAGCAGACTGCTAACAAGAAGAGCGACTTTTACGACGACACGTAGAGGAGGGGGGGGAGGGGGGCGATTGTGTTATAACGCAAGCGTTTTATGTGGTGTACATGCCCCCATTTGGTGCATTAAAGCCGTCGAGGAGAAAAACTTCACATCGTGAGCTGCACGAATTGGGAGAGCGAGCCGCTCAACCAAAATATGGACCCTCAAATGAGGACAACTTTTTTTATATAGGCAAAAATTGTTGTACATGCACATGGATGATGTTGGGTCGGTGCTCCACCACTGCTGCTGTTATCCCTTCCGGAGCGTGTACTGGTGGAAAACGCAAGCGCGTTGCACAGATGTATAATAATATGTGTGTTTAGTCCCCCTCCCTCTTTAATGGGATAGCCACCCGCGACAGGGTACCATCTTTTTCCAGTTTGATTAAATTCGACACCAGAATTAATTTTTTAAAAATCCCTTTTTGTTTTTTTTTTTAAAGAAAAATACAATTTTGTGGGAAATTTGGACAAACTGAAAAAAATGCTGCAAATTTTCATCTCGCAAGGAGGTGGTAAAAATGTAGCCACAACATAAAACAGAGCTGCTTTGCCTTCCTTCTCCCCCCCGTCTTACATAAAGCCGCAAATACATAAAGCAACAACACACGTCGGCTACGAAACTACGAGTGTTTGTGTGGGGGCGGCGATGTTACCAAGGAATTGGGGGCAGCACTTTTCTTTATTTACATGTACTAGTGTAACGGTATAAGTTTTATCGTTATACCATGTAGACATATCGGAAGCTCTCCATACGAAATGGAGTGAAACGTGGCTACCAACCCCTTACCCCTTTAATTATAACATAGTCCAACTCATTCGAACGCAATGGCCCCTAAACAATTTGCCTTAAAAAAAAATGAGAGAAAAAGTCAAGGCAATAAATAAAGAAAAGTACACCACAGCAAAGTAGCCACATTTCGTGTACACCCTTTAGGTCAATTTGAGAAAGTCCAGGGGGGGTATATACTTTTTGCCGATTTTTTTTTTTTTTTTATCCACATAGGTAATACACTCATGAAATGTTTACCTTTGCCTACCTACGCATGGCAGGCATTTTGGTAAACCTTCACCCCACGCAGCCATAAATTAGAAAAAGAACCACTCCAGTTTTCCGCTTTCTAGCCAGCAGGAAAATTTATCACCCATGAAAGTAATACATAAAATAATAATATGTGCAAAACGCAAGGGGGTGAAGACGTCGAATTTTTTTTCCTTTTTCGTACCAATATATATGTAACAAATAAAGTACCATTGCTTCTCTTCTATAAATAAAAAAAAAAAAAAAAATACCTCTGCAAGATGGTTACTTAAATTGTCATATGGTTACATGGGAATGCGGCGCAGAGGCAATTAATCCAGCGCATATATATTGCTGTGCGGCATAAAAAACGGCCATATGTACATGTACGTAATATTTTTACGTTTGTTCATATGAGGTTATAAATTCTTGCTCTCCTGCACAGAAGTATAGCAAACTTATTTGCCTCGAATATTTATAACGCCCTTTTAATTTATTTTTCTTTTCCCGTAATTTTGACCCCAGAGGGAAAAGCCAAGCAGATAATTCTTTTCTATATAATTTATTCCCAGCTGAGTCCAAGGGGGAAAAAAAAAAAAAAAGGAACATATATAAAAAATATGGCTGTTCAGAATAAATAGAGAAGAAGAAACAGTGGTCAACAAGTGAAAGCTCAATATGCTTAGGGGATCTTCCTAAGAGAGTAAAACACAGAGCAGAATAGTGCAACAATAGAGAAGCCGCTTTGGGGATGCCCACAAGGAGAAAAAGATATCCACACGCATATCATTGAAGTGGAGCGGCGTGCAAATGCGCACAGTTACATAAATAAAACATAATCCTTTATACATACTCGTACTGCCAAGTGGGGGACATCAAAATGTGGAGGACAGCAGTAGGAAGCTACTTCGGTGGTAAGAGCGACACCAAGGAAGACGAGGAGACAGCTGCGGCTGATGATAAGCCAAATAATGAAGCAGCAGACGCAAACCCCAGGGAAGAGCAGAACGAATCCCAAGGGGAACCCAATGAGGAGGAGGGTCCCAAGCCAACTACAACTCGAAGGGGAAGGCCTTTCACAAAGAAAGGGACCAAGGGTCAGCCTACTAGCCAGGGTGCAAAAGGGGCATCGGAAAATAAAGAGGCGCCTGATGAAAAAAGTAAAGTTGGTAGCGGTGACACCAGTACTGTTGGTGGAAGTGAAGCAAACCAGGGCGACGTCAACGAAGCCAGCGATCCAAAGGAAAAGAGCGGGGACGCAGGCGAGAATGCGCATGAGGCCATAAGTGTGAAAAAGAGAAGAAACAGTAAAAAGGAGGAGGAGACACAATCGAAACCACTGCAACAGGAATCGCCGCATGAAGCGGAAGAGGGCGCGAACGAGGCAAATAATGCGTCAGACGAAAAAAAGGCAAAAGATAAAATTCGAGAAAAGGCGAGCAGTGACCTACAGGAAAAGATGAAAATAATTAAAGAGAAACTCAAATCGAGCGAGCGCAATCAAGGGGCAAGCATGGAAAAGCACCAGGACAAAGACGAGGAACGCAGCAAAAGAAAGCACAAGGATGTGCCATCAGATAGTGACGATGGCCACTCTTCTAAAAGAAAGAGGCGAAGCGGAGAAAGGGGCATGGATGAGAGAGGAGAAAATGTAAGTAGGCACCGACATAGGAGCAGAGAAAGAGAGAGGAGCGAAGAAGGAGATAGAGACAGAGATGGGGATAGAAGCTTAGAAAGAATGCGAAGCAAGGATCTGGCCAGGAGCAGAGGCAGGCACCGAAGCAGAAGTAGACATCACAGTAGAAGCAGATACAGGAGCCGAAGTAGAGGAAGACACCGCAGTAGAAGCAGAAGCAGAGGTAGGCATAGAAGCAGACACCGAAGCAGAAGAGGAAGAGATAGGAGCAAAAGGTTAAGTAACAGTGATAGCGACAGCAGCAGTGATGAGAGACATCACCGTCACCATCACAAGTCTAGAAGGAGAAGAAAAAGAGGTTCCATAAATAGTAGTGATAGAGAACATTCCAGTGGAAGCACAGGAAATAGAAATGGATATGACAGGAAAGACAGATCATCTTCTAGCGACAGAAGAAGTAAAGAAACTAGGAAAAAAAAAAAGACAAAATGGGATACTGTAGATGAAAATTTATTGAAAACCCATTTGTTAGATAACAGTGCCAATGGACTACTTCAACAGCAGAATTTAGCACTAGCTAATGGTTTGGGTCCAAATAACAAAGTGGCCCCTGTAGCTAGAAATCCTTACGAAGTGGAAGGAGATAAAAAGCAAAGAAAATTATACATTGGTAATATTCCTCCCAACTCCAAACAGGAAGAGTTATTGGACTTTTTCAACAACACGTTAGGATCCATTATAAAAGGTTCCAGTTTGGAAATAAAAATAGGAGACATTGTATTGATGCCAATATTGAAGTGTGAAATATTTAACGTCGAATCTAGGTTTTGTTTTCTTGAATTTAGGAGCCTTGAAATTACATGGCTTTGTTTAAGGCTAGATGCCATTTCGTTTAATAATTTTGCCTTACGGATAGCTAGACCACATGATTTCGTTCCACCCCCAGGAGGGGACCCAGCACTGACTGTCGTATTTACAGATATCAACCACGAAGTATTCGAAATGGTCAAGCCGATAAAAATCGCTCCTGTAAGAAGTACAGGAGATGATGATAACAAATTATATATACAGAATTTGCCCCATGATTTGAGAGATGATCAGATAAGAGACCTTCTACAGCAGTTTGGAAAACTAAAAGGATTTAACGTTATAAAAGATCAAAATACTGGATTGAATAAAGGCTATGGCTTCTTTGAATATGAAGATAGTAATTGCACACCTATTGCCATGCACGCTTTGAATGGCTTTGTGTGTGGGCAGAATATACTTAGCGTAAAAAAAGCTACATTCGGAAAAAGCCAAAATAGTAGTACGCAAAATGCAAACACCATAACTTTGGGAAGTGGCAGTAACGATTTGCCAGTGTCACTTTTGCCAAATTCCATTTCGCAAAGAATTCTGAGTAATTCCCTCATAGGCTTGCAAATTCAGGCTTCCAGAAAAATTGGTGAAAAATCCTCTCGAGTGGTTCAACTCACCAATGCTGTTTTTCAGGAGGATTTACTTATAGATAGTCAGTATGAAGAAATATTAAGGGATGTTAAGGAAGAAGCTGAAAAATATGGGCCCCTTCAAAATATTGTAATTCCCAAACCAAATAAGGATTTGTCCTACACGGAAGGTGTCGGAAAAATTTTTCTTCATTACGCAGATGAAACTACGGCCAGGAAGGCCCAGTATATGCTTAACGGGAGACTGTTCGAGAAGAGAGTAGTATGCGCTGCGTTTTACTCAGAGGAGAAGTTCCTTGCGGGAAAATACGTCCTCTCATAGTATGCATTGGTTTCCCATGGACGTGGAAACCTAACGGATGGACAAATCTAGCAAGAGAAAAAAAACGCACCATTTGGCGCAGCTTAGCCCGCTTTGTGACTTGTAACTGTAATGGCCTGTGTAGTGAAGGAATAAAAAAACACAAAAACAAAAGAGCATATAGTATAGCAGAACAGAAGGAAACATAACAAAATCTTAAACGTTAATAAATTTTCTATTTTTTTTATTTTCTTTTTTATTGTCTGCACCGTTCATAATTTTTATCCGTATTTTTAGCTACACAGAAAAAAAAAAAAAAAAAAAAAAACTAGCCAAAACACGTTGCAGCTAGCCAGAAAAGGTCACCCCCAAATGGGAACAACAGAGACGTGGAATATTTCCAAAAAAGTCTTCCCTGTTTGGATATTCCCCGCACCGAGGTCCTTACCTTAACTACCTCCTTGTGTAAATAAGAGAATAAATCGAAACCGCTTACCCCACGCCTTCTCGCCCTCCTCTGTTTATATATATCCCGATTTGTTCATATCATCCCAAACATACGACTTGTTATTTTTTTTTTTTTTATTTTTTTACACTTGTAATTAAAAAAAACATAAGACATTTCTTTCCATTTAAGATAATGAGTCATGTTTTTCACCTTAAATTTCGGTGCCTAGTTGGGTGCGACACGCGCGTGTGAATCTTCCTTAAATGGCGCAAAAGGCATATATATAATATGAGCTGGAAGAGGCAACTCCGTACGGGGAGAACAGTGTCAAATAGTGTTGCTACTCGCCCCTTCTTGCTTAGAAGTTATGCGCGGGGAGAGAGTTCCACAATTGGATGTTATTTTTTTTTTTTATTAATCCAAAACATGGCTATTAAATCTGCAAGAATGTGTCATAGAACTGGCAAAATGCAATTTTAAAAATGGTTCCATTTTGGAGGTGGCCTATTTCAGACCCCATCGACAATTCATTGTTAAAAAAGGTGACAGCACGTTTGGGCATATCATATCCTGTGTCATCATACCACAAGTCATGAAATAAAATAATTTTTTTATAAGGTACATTGTGTATTTCAGTTTTTTTTTTTTCTGTTAATTTGATACAACATAAAATGTGTTTTTATATAGTTTAAAAAAAAAATGAGGCTTTAAAAATAAATATATATATAATATGTAACCACCTTTGTATTATATAAGTATGCATGCATGTACGTATGTGTAAGGTATGCACTTATTTATTATATATGATATGTTAGATATGCTACATTACTTGAAAATTAATTCAAACATGAGAGAGGCGAGCAACAAATTAAAAACACTACACACGGTCTGCTGTTTTGGTTCATATCGATAAATATATATGCGTGTATATATTTATTTATCTTCCTGTATTTATATATTTTAAAAAAATAATAATATAAGGAAGAATATATCCACTTGTATGTGCTGTGATGTGTAGAAAATAATGCACGTCGCATATACACTTACAAGAACGCCTGGAACACGGGCATATACACTCTACACGCAGGTATGCATATGGGAGCAAGCAGCTGTGCACACATATGTATGCACATATATATGTGTACATATATATATGGTTACATATGCACAACTTACACGCACACATATGAATATAACTCATTACATACGCATGCGCACATTTGATATGGTTGTATGATAGAAACAGTACATTGCAGTTTGAAAATGTATACAGAATAAGAATAGGATGATATTTTTTTTTTTTTTTAAATGTACAATTCTTATTTACAAAATATCATTGGTCTTAAAAATGAATCTCCCATGTGAACTCTAGTACTGACTTCTGCCTTCTTTGAAAAAAAAAAAAAAAAAAAAAAAAAAAAAAAAAAAAAGAGGGGGGGTTTACAAATAGTCCGCAACCTGATAGGGGGTAAAGGGGAAAAGGGGGAAAAAAAAAATTAAGCCACCGTGTGTGGAAATTACGTACGTAAATATGTATACATATATATATATATATATATATATATATATATATATATATATGCGTGTGTGTGTGCGCGCGCATGTATGCCAAAGCTGCATGCTGCTCCGTCGTAATTACCTCCAAGGGCATCTCCTCAATTTGAGTGCTGTAGTAGGACTCGATTTTCTTCAACTTGTCCTTCTCCTTGTCATCGTTGGTGACAAAGTTGATGGCAACACCCTTACGACCGAATCGACCCGAACGACCAATTCTGTGAATGTACGTGTCGGGTGAGGTGGGCAAGTCGTAGTTAATGACTAGGGACACTTGCTGCACATCAATACCTCTAGCTAACAAATCGGTGGTAACCAAAACTCTTGTAGAACCCGACCTAAATTCTCTCATAATTAAATCTCTGTCCTTTTGGTCCATATCACCATGCATACAGGATACGGTAAAAAGTCGGTTGTGCATTTCTTGGGTTAAAATGTCGACCTTTTTTCGGGTGTTACAATAAATGATACTCTGAGTAATGGTTAGGGTTTCATATAAATCACATAAGGTGTCTAATTTCCATTCTTCCTTTTCCACAGCCACGTAAAACTGTCGGATACCTTCCAATGTTAACTCATCCTTTTTAACTAATATAGTTTTAGGGTCTCTCATAAATCTGGTGGTCAGTTCCAAAATTTCTTGTGGCATGGTGGCAGAGAACAGGGCTACCTGGATATCTGGGACCAACTTTTTAAACACTTCATATATTTGTGCCTTAAATCCTCTAGAGAGCATTTCGTCTGCCTCATCCAAAACGAATAACTTCAACCTATCCACACCCAAGTGCCTCTTGTCAATCATATCGTACACTCTACCGGGGGTTCCCACAACCATGTGCACACCTTGCTTCAGTTTGTCAATGTCTTCTCGCACGACGGTACCTCCGACGCATGCGTGGCACTTAACCTTGAGGTAGTCTCCCAGGGCCAAAACAACCTATGCAAAAAATGGGGCATAAAAAAAATTGGACAACATTACGCACATTATGCCAAATGGGTAGAGGCGCCAAATATTAGCAAACAAAGTGGGACGCTCTGAGAGGATGTCTTCGTTTGGTCGACGCGGACACACGCATAGTGCGGCAGAGCACCGTGCTTCCCCCCAACCACACACTTACCTTCTGAATTTGCTGAGCCAACTCACGGGTTGGGGCTAAAATTAAAGCCTGGCAAGCAACAACATCGTAGTTAATTAATTGCAGAGAAGAAATGACAAAGGTAGCAGTCTTTCCCGTTCCTGATTGTGCCTGACCAATCGTGTCGTAGCCATTCAATATTGGCTTAATACCTCTTTGCTGAATGGCTGAAGGTTTTTCGAAACCGTAGGAATAAATACCTCTTAATAATTTTTCATTCAAACCAAGTGCGTCAAATGTGTCAACGATTTCTTCTGTGTTTCCTTCAATGTCGTTTTCATTGGTAAATTTTTCGTCCTTAGTGCTCATTTTCAATTAATCTGAGGTGGGTAAAAAGTATTTATACATATAAATATATAACTTCTTTACAACATATTGTGAAAAATGATGAGCAAAAGTGACTCCCGTACACATCAGGCTCGATGGAACGCAGGAGGGCACAACTGTACCACATGTAAAGGCTACAACACAGCGCGACTTTGGCTCATGCAAATCCGCTCGCATGCAATAGTGTATGAACACAACACGTTGCTACATAAATGCAATCATGCACGCTTCTTTGCATTTGTCTCATATCCCCACTCGCTAGCAAAAAAAGGCTGGCTTTTTTTTTTGTTAACGAATGGGGTAGACCGCAGACGGGACGTAAATTGCCCAATGATTAACAAGAAAGGTGAAAAGTCACACGGTTACATGTGCCGCTGTATGTGCAAACGGACACGCACATAAATACTCCGCTCCACTAGCACAAACATGTGGATTGAGCCCCCCCCAGGCGCACTCGAATTTTACCTGTGGGTAAAATTATGGCCTGGAGGTGATGAGTTCATGTTCAGCGTGGAAGCTTAACTAAAGAACAGGAGCATGTAATGTGTGTGCGCGCGGGATTTATATATGCACAGGTTATTTGTAGGGTCCTCTCGTTTGGGTTTATAAACGAGGAACTTTTTTACAAATACACGTAAATATGTAAACACTACATGCAGTGCGCTTCAGAACTGCAGCACGAAAGGAAAAACTGCGACTTAGTAACAAATGTTTAAGTAGGGGTACACTTATTAATGTGGATATAGTACAATTAGATATACTACGTATTAATGCATATGCAGTTGCCTGACTGTTTTATCTGACAGCTGCACGGGCATGTAACAAATGAACAGGGCAAACAAGCTAATTAAAAAAATATGTTCCTACTATGCAGCAGCACGTAAAGGCGTGCAAAGGTACGTACATTTTATATGTATAACAACTTGTACGTGGTAGGCAGTACTCACAAAATAATCGCCTCACGTTTACAATATAACAGTATTAAAGGCGCTTTATATGAACACAAAAAACATGAACGTTGGGATGAAAATAACGCAGGGAACTACAATATTTTTTTTTTTTTTTTTTGTACAACAAAGCTTAAGTTTCGCTTTCTTCTGTAACGTTGAGTTTGCGCTACGTTATAATTACGTTACGCTAACGTTATGTTGCTCGTTTTTTTGATTTTGCTTATTACTTTTACGTGAAAAGAAAAAAAAAGTACGCGGGGATACTAAAACGTGGGATTGGGATGTTTATCTTCTATATGAGTATAAATGTTATGTACGGCTTTGTACATATAATTAATTAAAACTCTTAATATGGGTTGTTTTTAAAGGATTTTGGGGTGGGGAAATTTCGACGTTTTGTTTTTGGATTGATACTTTTGTGGGGAAAAGAATTAAAATAATGTTTTAAACATTTGTTTTAATTTTATTTTAATTTTCTTTTTTTCAAGAATGATATATTAAATAAAAAAAAAAAGAGGAACCAGGAAAAAAGAAGAAAAAAAAAAAAAAAACCAACGGGTTTTTATGCGCTTTTTGGGGGTTGTTAATTTTTTGAAGCTAAAAATAAAAGCTACTTGCGGTAGGCACTTTTTTTTTTTTTTTTTGCTGCATGAGGGAAGGAACATATATATTAGTAGTACACGTATATGATTATAAATATAACATGAATATTAGTATGCAGGAGCAGGGTAGCACGCCGGTATATATATAAAAAACAATGTGGTATTTGGATGAGCATATCTCTAACCCGTATGCCATTGCGCACTTATTTGTATCCCTATTTGGCCTACGTGCACAAGCCCTAACTCTACCTTTACGGAAGGCTGATTGAAATATAATGGGCGCGGGAAGCAATATAATAGGTTTACTACCCAGGGTGGAACCACCTACTTTTTTTTTTCCTCAATACGTATGCAAGAATACGCGGCTGGCGCACGAGTGCCACCGTATGCACCATACGTGACGCGGTTAAAATGGCTCACATTGTACCCCTGAAAACGGCGCATAATTTTTTCCTGTACCCCGTAAAGCATATATATTTTTTTTAATATATTATGTATTATTCTTATACCTGTATATTTATATATATATAGGTATATTTTATATGCGTATGTTTTTTATATATGCTATATTTGAACCTGCTTGTGGGGCACAGCTTTGAGCCCTCTTTCGGGCTCATCACCGATCGGTTTGCCCCCTCTACATAGTAATAAATTTATATTCATCGCCTCGCCCCTATAATTTTTTTTTTTTTTGGCTCCTGCCCCCAATATATTATTGGGGGAAAAAGTGGTCCCCCCTTTTTTTTTTCTTTTTTTCTGGGTGTCCCCCCCACCCCCAGTTATTCTTCCCTTTACATAAGAAACAAATGGAAATTTTTCTCACCTATAATTTTTATATAAAATGGGAAAAAAGTGAAATACATTTTTTATTTGTTAAAATGCGACGTAAAATAGTATGTGAGAACATGTGTTAGCAGAGTATAGGTGTAAGTGTATAATAGCTTTGCCCCCATATTTGCTAAAACAACGGAAGCAGGTCCACCACCCCCTCCGCACACCGAAGAGGGGCAAAAAAAAAAAAAAAAAAAACGAAAGAAATAATTACCCTTCGTATACTGTGTAACGCCACTGTCCAAAGATGGGTTTTCTTAAAAAGTTCATATGAAACGAAAAAAAAAGAAAATCATTCCCCATTTTCACTAATGCCAGTGTGAAATTGCGAGATGGGGAAGTGCTTGTTATACAAAGGACCGCAAATACACATACAAATTCGCACATGTAGGCATGTAGCAACTCTGACGCACACACGTATGACTGTATGCATGTGCATGGGGGTGAGTAGTGGAATATTTATATCCACCTCGTAGCGTTCAAATTAGGCATCATTCCGTGATTAAGAAGCAGGGGGAAATCACATCCTGCACAACACACACACAAAAAAAAAAAAAAAAAAAAGAGTTACCCTTCCCCGTTGTGTCACTCGCAAAACGAGGCGACAGCATCGAGGGAAGAATTCACACTTCCAATATGAACAATTTGATGGCTACCAGAACAAAGACTTTCAAAAGAATGCTTCATATGCCTAAGTGCCGACTTGGCTCCCCGTGATGTGCATTTTAAAAACACATAATATATAACAAGCGGTACATTAACAAGGCAAATAGTAACAGTAGTGTATGCACAAAAGGCGAAATCAAATTTGAAAAAATATTCCATGTGAGAATCATGTAGTGTGCTTAATACAATTTTGTAGGCGATTAAAAATAAAATGAATATGGCTGCAAGCAGGAGGAAATAACAATTTCGTTTTGCAGCAGGAAGGAAAAGCACACTGTGCAACAGGTGCGTGATGAATAAGGGAGGAAACACGTACATTTCGTTATGTATGCCGAGGAGGTAGCGGTGATCTCGTTGGGTGGGAAAATGCCCTAGGGGATTAGTACAATCGGGTAAACCACCCCACATGTAGTGTGTGCAATAACCTCGCATGAATAGGACAAAGGCCTGGTACAGTGCAACCCACATGGCAACACAAAGCCATCTTAGGGAAAACAACCTGCGTTGTAAATCCCCCTTGCGCATTGCATTTCTCTGCAACAGATGGCAGTTAGCCCCACCAGAGTACCCTACACACGCCTCATCATTCTGCGAAGTGGAAATCATCACAAATGTAATGATGAACAAAAAGGCGAAAAAAGTGAGCAGGCAAATGTTGGAAAAGATCGATAACCAGCTAGCGAAAAAGTAAGAAAAAAAAAATTGTAAAAATAGAAATGTAAATCCTCTGTAATAGCTAGCCAAAAGGAAGGAATGAACATTCTCGCTAATTCTGTAACCATATAAAAAAAATATACACCCAAGGTCTTCAAATGATTGCACCTCGATATCTGCGTAGAGGTTACTGACATTAGTGTCTTTATGCTTATTCACCCGGATAGCTATATCTGACTCATTAAACATGTTTAAGTCCTTTGCATGGTTTCCTACTGAGCATAAAATGCCTCCGCCCCCATGATTTCCATCTACTGCACTGCGCAAACACCTAGCTATTTTCCCTTTTTGCATAGAGTTGCAGTCGTAAAAGAGGGCGCACCGAGATTGGATTAATGCCCTTATGAATTCCCTCTTCCCGTATTTTAAGTAGTAGTCAATTATGTCTCCCTTGACAATGTAAACACTGTTATAAGGAGGGGGAACTTTACGGAGTTTCTTTTGTGTATCGCTCCTTCGCCCAAGGTGTTGTTCGTTTTGCATGTTCCCCCCTTGGCATTCCCCGTCAAGCTTCCCTTTTTTCTCGGCTCCCCTAAATGGGCAGCTAAACTGGTGCAGCATTTCGCTGAGTGCATTTGTTAAAGCTCCATCGTCTTGTAGTGAAATCATTTTAGTCGCCCTTTTGGGTAAGACACTTCCAGCTGTGGAATGGAACAAAACAGTGTTAGTGTCCCCACACGTCTGTTGGGTACGCTGCAATTCTCCTTCAAAGCAATTTACGGTTTCATTGTTGTCTACCGTACCCCTGTCAACACCCCCCTTGACGCACCCGTTGGAAGCGCATGTTTCATGCATTGCATCATGTCTGGGTACAACCAATTTGTGTGAATTTCTATTCTTTTGCATCATATAGTCTTCGTGATCGCATCTGGCACAGTCTTCACTGCAGATGTTGCACGGGGATAACGTCCCCTTTCGAAGAGTTATACCCTCACTGGGTGATGATGCCCCCAAGTGGACAGCACAGTTGGTGTACGTACCCGATAGGCCTCTACCCTGGAACGCATCCAATGCCCCCATTCTGTTCCGTAACAACCGTGTGAGCCTTCCCTTACTCAAGTGACAAACGTAATGCCTTGGTTTAAGCAGCTGTAAAGACGTGGAGGTAGCTATAACACTTTCCTTCTTCTCCCCAGAGAGAATCCACGTTTTTATTTTCGCTCTTTTGAACAAATCAAAGCACTTTTTTGCCTGTTCATGGATGGCTTCCTTTAGCATCGCAATGGCGAGCACATTTATATTGTTAGCGAACACATTTTTAAAAAAAAGTTTCTTCTGCTCTTCGTTACTAACCCTTTTGTATTCATCTAATTCGTTCTGTGCAACTTCTCTGAAGGCAAAAACAACTACGCGAAAGCCTTTGGCACAAAAGAGCCTTAAAATCGACCTCAGTTTTTTTTTTCCCCTTTCACAAGACAACATATTAGCAATCTTTTCATCAGGCCCCTTAACCAGATTGAATATTTTTTCATTGTACGAGATGAGGGTGCATATGACTTGATCGTTACAGTCTAGGGACAGTCCTTCTATGATTTCAAAATTGTATGTCTTCACCTTTTTCCTTATTCCCTTTTGGTCCCCATTACCTGGGCGGCAACGACCATGCCGTCCACTTCTGGCGGTGCGCCTTTTCCCACAGCTCCTGCTGAAACGACCTCTTCTGCCGCTACCACTACTACTTCCTGGGCGTTCCTCCCACTCGTTATTAAAGACGCGCAACCGCTCACGTTTCACCTCGCCCCTGTCTACCTTTTCCGCCACGTTGGACAATTTAAAAATGCCGCCACTTTGTAGAGAGTTTTTAAAATGCCAGCATTTTTGCCTGACCTGTTCATAATTTTTTTTTTTTTTTTTTTGTTGCTTCTTGTGTTTCCTCCCCTCCGAAGAGCGTTCATTCGAGTTATTGCGCACATTTTTCTCCGTCCCTTTGGCCCTGCTATTTTTACTCAGACCGTTTTTTTTGTTTTCCCCTTTTCCATTGTGTATAATCGTAGGAGTTAAAATTCCAACAGAAATTTTGGACTCATCTTTTTTAAAAATGTCCATTCCGCAGGACTTCACAAAGTCTATGAACAAATTTTCCTCCAGGCGTGGAGAGTAAATGGAATCCCACTTTGAATGTAACGTACGCTCTTTTTCATTTTTTTCTAGAACCCCTCTTCTGCTAACCATTGTTATATTGCAAAATAGCATGCACAAAAGGGTTAGAAACATTTTGTTCGATTTTTCCGTGGTGCAATTTAAGATATCACTCAAGATTGTTCTGTACAACTTGTCCGCTTTATCGCCTTTCCTTCCGCCGTCCAGTGGGAGGCTGTGCCGATCTATGCTTTTCAAAAATGCACTGTTCCTTTGGGGCCCCTCTTTAGGGGGTGCACACACGTATGGGTTGAAGTCGACAAGGTGTAGAAGTGCTTGCAAGAGGCATCTCCAGTAGGAAAGGTTACCCTTGTGGCCATCCCTACGACTGTCATTGTGCCTACTACCCCCACTCTTGTCTTCCAACTTGTCAAGCAGAAAGTGCACCCCGCGCAGCTTCAAACCCAGTCCACCGACCACTTCATCCTTGTCGCACAAAAGAAAAGACGTACTGCTAATCCGATCAGCGATGTCAAAGTTAAGCAGAGAAAAGTGTGGAATGGCTTTTCCCTTCCGTAACATATGAAACGAAATTCTGCTGATGAAGTAGGCGTACATGTTATTGACGTAGGGCGTGTATGGGAGTAGCAGGAGGACGTACCTAACAAATATTATCAAGGCGCTTTTTCCAAGTGGCTTTTCTTCTTGTAAGCATAAGTAGAGACATATGATTAATACCAGAATTAGCCACATCCATAATGCTCTCCATTCCCCTTTACACTCTCCACCTGATATTTTTTTTCCCCTACTCACCATAATGCTTGTTTTCTTATCTGCTCCTGCGTAGGCCACGAGACCATATACTTTGCCCCGCACTATCTTGCTACCACACCAGATGACATTTTCTGTACCAATTTGTTCTTTGTAACTTTCTTCATTTTCGTCACGTAAGATAAGTGATGAACATTGAGAGTGAAATTTACTGATGTAGCTTTCGAAATGGGTGTCCTGTGATCCGCTTACGCGTTTGACGAAGTCTGTGCTGGAGACGTAGCCAAGATGGGCAGCCTTGTTAGTTGCGACAATTGTATCCCCCTCGGGTGGAGGACTTGTGCAGGCACCCACGACGGATGGTTCTTTAAAAGTGACTGCAGACCTCCGTATGAGGAAATCTACACATTGGTACGTCTTCTCAATATAGGTGTCCTCAATGACATAATTAAAAACCTCGCTCCCATGATGAAACTCGCTAGTGTCATTTTTGAAAAATGTGTTTTGCAAACATACCAAGTCGTTGTACATACTATTAACAAAGGAGTGATAATTATTAAGAATAAACAAGCCGTTCATTTTGTCCAACCGTTTATGCGGTTTTTCAAGCATCACTTTTATTTTTAACCTGAACAGGTCATAAATACTGGGTAAGTAAGACGTAAGCAGAATGCTCTTCCTCATTTTAAGGTCTGTCTTTCCGTCTAGATTTTTTGAAGACACGTACACGTCATCGTGGCCGCACTTTAGCAGAACCAGGTCTGCGGGGCTTTCGTCGTTTTCTTCCAGGTAAAGTACGTCACCCACCTTCGAGGGGAGGGAGGGGACAAATGGCAAACGGGTTTTAGCGGCATGAAAGCTAGCTAAAGCGGGTTAGTTAACAGCTTAATAAATCGGGTGAACATCTCACTTGGAAGACGGAGCGTTCACGCGAATGATAAGGAGAAGGGGCATGTAGGGGGAATCCCGAACTCATGTTGGCACCTTTTCCCCCTACCACGGCAGAGTGCACCTCTCCTCTGAGGACCTACCTTGACCTCAGCGCAAGGGACATCCATCAAGCCAACAGGAGTGACCCGCCTGCACGTCTTAGCGTTCACCCTCCGCTCAGTACCTATCCGCTGAGCTATTGTGTGAATATCTTTCAATGCAGAAAAGAAGAAGAGGAAGAAAAAACTAAGAGCAAAGTATGTATAATTATTTGTCCTAAAATAATATGTCTGTTGAAGTAAAAAGGATGTAAAAAAAATGAAAAAGTAAAATGTTCCAAGCCGGTTAATGATCACGCGAAGAATTAATTCATGTCTGTTCTTGTAGTGCATACAAATATACTCTCCATTGTTGTTGTTCCTTAAACGCTTCCCATTGGGGATGTAGTGTGCCTTCACACACTCTTGCTCGTACTTGCTTATTTTGCAAAAATTACTCGCTTCCTTCATTTCATTTCTGTGATAATGATGGTGGTTGACCGTGCTGTCTCGAACCATAATTTTTTTTATTAAGGACTCATCGCTGATGTAGAGATTATTTTCTGCATTGAAGGCCTTTAAATTGTTAACCTTCTGAATAAACAACTTTTTCATTTTTGCTATTTCTTTACACTCCTTATAATTTATATCTCCATTAGTGGAGCCCCACTTGTGCACGTAAAATAACATGTTCGTTAAATAATTTTTGCATATTTGTATGATGTGTTTGTTACACAGGTTGTCCGTTATCGGGTCAAGGAAAACGCATCGATCTAGCCTATGTAGGGTGGCTTGATTTTGTTCCTCTGCCTCTTCCAGACCGTTTGTTCGTGTCTTATTCCTTCCATTTTGAAACCGCACAAAGACCATCATATTTTCCCATATGTAGAAAAATCCACCCCATTTTAACAACCTCCCTATAGTTGTCCTTGTCTTGTTCCGGAGAAATGACCACACGGGGGAAAGGAACACCGTCACAATAATGTTACTTTTATTTTCGTTTACGTATTCATCGTCATTATAATATAGTATGGACACTCTCCTGTTCTTTTTGTATCCTTGTACACTCCATAATTTTGTCCTTACAATGTAGAAAAAACTTTTCAACTTGTTTAGGAATTTTTTTTTCTTTTTTTTTTTTTTTTTTGTGCTTCCCCCCTCTTTGCATATTCATTGCTATGTCTTTTATGTTAAGATGCATTTCGTTTACGTGAGATGTGGACAAATGGGTGTTCCCCTAGAATAACATTTTAGTCGCCCACGAGTAGATAGCTAAAAAAAAATTGGCCAATCGGACAACTATGAACGAGGGACTCGCACTATAAGGGAGGACAAAAAAATGCGATTTTCTCGCAAGAGAAAACTAAATAAGGGTAAACCCTTCCGAATAACGAAGCAAATCAATACATAGACAAGTGAAAAATCCCGTGGACGAAAAAGAAGACAGAAAAAAAAAAAAAAAAAAACGTCAAGTTTACATGCACAGTCGTCACGCATATGAGCCATTCCCTACCCTTCCGCTTTGTAATCTTAAGCGGGTACGACAAAATTGTGATTCGCCGATTTTTCCAAACCTACGAGATAGAAGTATTTCCGTTTTGTAGGTAGAATAAACGGCTGTTCAGCGCACGGCGCATTTAGTTCCTTTTTGCTATAGTATGTTATCTGTTCGTTTCGCTAGGTGTATTATTTTATTATTATTTTTTTTTTTTTTACCTGAACAGGTCATACTTTTTAAACAATGTGCAATTGTCCGGGTGGAAAAATTAAGCGGAAAAAAGGTCGAAGCTGCTTGGGGGGCGTGTCTCCCTGTCGCTGTCGCTTCAGCCCATACGTACACATGATGATTCAGCGGCATACGTGACAAAAATGGCCAACTTCGACGGCACGCAAATAGGGGCTGAGTTACATTTACCTACAGACAGTTGGCAGCCTCTACCCATACATGTGACAGGCAAATAATTTTGCGCCAATTAAAGTGAACAAAAAGTGTGCAATGGAGATACCAATAGGAATATATCCATACGGCTAAAAGGTGAAGGGACCTGGAAATTTCCCTTTTTATAATTTGTTGGAAAATCCCTCTGAATGAACGTCCACTAAACGATGTAACCATCCTTTTTGTAATTCATTCAGTGTGTTGCCTCGTTAAGGTAACAATTGTTTTTTTTTTTGTTCCATTTTTTCCATCATAGCAGGTGCTCATTTACATCGTCTGAATTGTCACACACGTGTGTATGCTAGATATATTTAACGGGAAACCACTTTGGAGGTTCTCCAAGGGGAATTCGTGCAAGCATGTACCACATGTTCTCTCATCCGTGGTACATGTGTCCACTGCGCCCCCTCTCTAAACATGTACCGCGTAAAATGCACGTAACCAAGTACTGTACGAATGAACCTTCCGTGTCATGTCCTCAGGGGATTCAAAAAGGAACAACAATAAAACGAGCGCTTAAGTGGGTAGCCCATGAGGTGCAGTGATGGTTGTGTACTATGTATGCAACTTTAAATGGTTTATGCGATGGCGGCGGTTAAAATGATGCAGGACTTATACACATGCGTATGCATGAAGTAGGTTTAATCATCTTGTATGCGCGCATGTGGATTAACTGGTCTGGAGCAATTCCCCACGTTTGCAATTTTGTGAAAAAAAAAAAAAAAAAAAGAAAAAGAAAAGAAATATATTTACATCTTAAGGTAGTAATTAACTGAATTTTAAAAAAAAAAAAAAAAAAAAAAAAAAAAAAAAAAAAACGATCCGATTTTTTTGCCATACTCGTGGCAACATAATTAAAGAGCCAAAAAATAAGGCACAAGATTTACACAAAAATTAAACAAGCAGAAATGCGAAAATGGAAAAATAAATTTGCTCAGAATGCCTTTTTTGACAGGAAAAAAAATTGGTACACTGTAGTATGAACAAATCCATGTGACGTGCCGCAATTTAAATGGCCCATTTTCGCCTTACGATTTTCCGTAAAGGCGTTTTGTTTTATTTTATTTGTTTTTTTTTTCTTTTTTTTTTTGCCATCATAACGAATCCCAAAGGAGAGGACAGTTGGAACATCCAATTGTTATATGTGCACAAAAGGACACGTACATTGTGTATATTTACCTATGAATCAAGCGGAAATGCGAAAATTTTCCCTCGTTTTTGCGCCCAAGGGACTAAATGCGTGTTTTGGCATCTTTCCACGCGCTACGTAAAGACGATTAAAAAAGGGGAAGGTGCGGCAGAAAGGAGTAGCAAATAGTGGCCAAAAAAGCATTCGCAGCGGATTAACAGAAGTTTAACACGCCTGGTGAATCGTTCCCAAGGATCAGCGCAGTCCAAACGAGCAGTGAGAAAACCCTCCCGTGTAGCAGTTCGATCAAACGTGAAGCACTCTGCACAAACGTGTGGCAAACCTTACGAACAGCGAGCATTCCCCTCCGAGCTGCTACCTGCGGAGCTCTTGGGCCAAAGACCTCAATTGACCATCCGATCAGTCAACACAAGTAGGGGAAAATGGTTCAGTTGGGCGAGCTCCTCGGCCAAATACCGCTAATAACTCGCTTATACCTCATCCTGTCCTCCATTCTTATGGTCCTATGCTCCCTGGACATCATATCTCCCTTGAGCTTATACCTAAATTGGAACCTAGTCCTAACTGAGCATCAGGTAGTGATAAAAAAACGGGCGACTACACAAGACAGCTGAGTAGTTTAGAAATGAACTTGTCCGTTTTTTCTCCTTATGCGTTATTCATTTTTGTTGTCTGTATCCTCGCCCCCCCCTCTCTTCACGTGTGACACTGGTTGAGTCTGTTCTGCATGCGCAGAGCTTGTATGCCGTAATAATACATGCAAAGGGGCAAAATACATTTCACCCCCCTGACCTTTCTCCCATTGTAGTACTGGAGACTCATCACGTGCTTCTTGTACTTCGGGTCATTCGGGATTCATTTTTTTTGGGATGCCTACGTTTTGTAATTACAACAACATAAGAGAGAAAGAACGCAAAAATGCCCCACCAGGGGTAGTACACATATAAACCTATTCGCGTTTACACATGTGGACGTGTCTGCTTCCCCCACTCATACGCACATACTGGCATTCACGTATTGTGAACACGATTACCAAATTAAAATCATTTTAAAATTAACCCCTGTTTCGTAACCATTATTCATTGAGCAAAACGATATGCATTTCCCCCCCCCCCCCTACAGAATATACTACTGCAGTTCACTGGAAGATGTTACCTTTAGAAATAACTCGGCCGACTTCCTCTGGATGATTATTGTATCCTGCATGATGCTGCTGGTATGTGCATGCAGCGCATAAAAGCGTTGCGATTAAACGTGGACCTCTCAACGAAGAATTATCTCTTTAGAGAGACGCACACATTGTGCATAGATGAACAAGGTTAAGGGGGACCCCTTAGGGGATAAGAAGCAAATGATATATATATTTTTTTTTCTTCCCCCACTGCAGGTCGTTTCGTACATTTTCGGAGGGGTGTACTTTTACAGCAGCTGCATAATAAATGTGATCACCTATGTGTGGAGCAAGAACAATTCCTCGGCGCGCCTGACCATTTTTTTTTTCACCATAAAGGCGTCCTACCTGCCGTGGTACGCCCCATAGGAGGACCGTGTAGACATAGCGACGATGTAGCGTGGCGATGTTGCAGCGTGGCACTGGGAACAGCATGGTAATAACAGCAACATGACAGACCTCATAAATCTCCCCTCTTTTCTTTTCTTTTCCACAGGGTGCTAACCGTTCTCTCCCTAATTGTCGATTACAACTCGAATGATAACTTTTTTGGTATTTTAGTTGGACATATCTACTTCTTCTTCACGAACGTATTCCCCCTCATGCCCGTCGCCAAGAACACGCAAATTTTTAAAACCCCCCAAATTTTGTAAGCAGAGAAATGAATATTAAAAGGAAATAAAAATATAAATGGCCAAAGACAGCCACAGTCTTATCACTTTTTACCTTGCCGGTCATAATTTTTTTTATTCCGGTCAGCTATTTTATGACAATTTTATGACCATTTTGACATTTTTTTTTTTTTTTTTCCCGTTCAGGAAATGGCTGCTCAAGCAGGAGCAGTAAACATGTGTGATTCTCCACATTGCAAAAATTACACAACGTGGTGTTTGTTTTTAAAATTCAAAATATCGAGGACCTCTCGCTTGGTCGTTTATGTATACCAATCCCTCCGCTTCTCCACAGAATCATGATGCTTGTATAATTAAAGTAGTTTGTTTTTATGTAAAATTTTTAAGTGCCGTACGTGTGCATGTGTGTTTACATGAGTATGCTCCTGCCGCAACGTACTTATGTCTTTGACCACATGCCACCACGCACAAGCCTCCATTCAGTGGTGAAGATAAAAAATCGATGAAGCAACTGCGTAACTTTACTGGCACAAAAGATCACCTTTGCGTCTTCGTAACACTGAAGCAGTGTTACAACGAAGTGGTGCTACGCCGCAGTGATTACTGCTGGTTCTCTCCTTTTGTGTTCCCCAAACCCTTTTTTTTCTTTTTTTCTTTCTTTTTTTTTTGTTAAATCTGTAATTTTAAACTTTTTTTTTTTTTTTTTTTTAGCAAAATTCAATTAAAAACGTTAGTTAATGGATCATTCATAAATACAAATTTTACACATGAACGGATTAATAATAACTATTATTTAAAAGATGATTCACTTTTTGTTAAAATAAGGAATGTAAAAACTAAAAAAAAAGAACGTACTTAAATAAGGAGGAAAAACAAATAAACAAAAAAAACAAGCCGTGCATATTTGCGCGTCCATGTGTTTGTGTCAAGCTGGCCATTTTAATTTTCGCCATTTTTTATGGTGCATGGTTTGCACACATTGGCGATTTCTTTTTTTTAATATGAAAAAATGGTGAATACACATTAGGATGATGAATGGGCAACACTTATTTTGTGCTGTTTCTGTATATCGCTTACCGTGCCGCGATTGGGCAGCATCTTCGTAAGATTTATGTCTAACGGGGGGGGCATGCTGTGAAAATACGAAAAAAAAAAAACAAAACAAAACAAAAAAAAAAAAA